TTAAAATCAGGACACTCCGAACGGAAATGTCCAACCTTCCCGCAGGACCAGCACTCCCGACCCGCAGCGGACTTTCCCCCGCGCCAACCTTCTTGTCGTCCGTTACTCCCCTTTTCTTTTTCCGCGAGATTTTTGTCCATATTCGCCCCCTGTACATCTTTCCCAATTGCCTCTTTATTTCTTACTCCGCCTCCTCCACTATAAATTTCTGTCTTTCTTTCAAAACCCTCCCCTCCTTGAATTATTCTAATCACTTTCGCTCTTTCGATCGCGATTTTTTTAAGAAGAGACTCCCTCTAACTGGAGAGTCCGCTTCATAAATCCGTCTGTAAGCGCAGCGATAAATTGCGCACAGGCTATCTTATCGCGCACGGCGTAAGGGCATTCAGGATACGCGAACTGTGCGAGTCTTTCCAATTCCGACCCCAGAGTGGCTACATCCTCTCCGAATTTTTGCCTTCGGTTCGCGAATTGAGAATAATAAGACTGTTGCGAGTGTGCCTCACCAAAACGCAATTCGAGTTTCAATATTAAATCTGCGAACTCCAAATTCTCGAAATCCGGCACAGTCTCCAAAACGGAGCGCGCTTTTCCCCTTAAACTCGACGCGAAGGCCACGGTTTTAATAGCGTCTCCCCACTCATTCGCGCGCGCGATGAATTCAAATTGGGTCAAAAATTCGCGCAGAGGCACACTACCGTCGAAAGTATCGGGCTTTAGTCTATATCCTAAACCCGTACGCGCGTCTCCCTCCCCCGCGGATGCGTTTAACGTACCGGCGCCCATAATCCCTCTGTTATGAGAAAGACTTAGCTGTTCTTTGAAAATGCGTAGCTCCTCGTCTCGGGAACGCAACGCCGCCGCGAAGTCCTGATCCCGGCGCGTCTGTTCCTCGCGCATCTGGCGGATCTCTGCCATCACCGCCGCAATTTCCATCGTGTTTGACGGCTCGCTCGTTGGCGTCGTTTCCGTTGGCGTCGTCTCCTCGCGGCGTCTTTTCCTTGTGGCGTAAGCCGTCCTCGCTCTCCGCCGCTCGTCCGATCCCGGACGAGCCCCCAAAATGTTACGTCCGGCTCCGCCGTCCGCACAACACCTCGCGCACTCGCACACTCGCGCACTCGCGTACTCGCGTGCGCGCTCGCGTAATTGAAATAGAGCCGTGTGAGGAAGGAAAAAAGGAGATCTTTATTACACAGAAAGAACGGCCCTCGAACGTCTGCACCAGGCAGGGGCCAAACTCTCTCTCTCATTTACAAACGTGTTGACAACAAAACACCACCGTAACCAGGCAACTTGAACATCATAGAGGGAATTCGCCAAATCGCCAGATACTGGACGTCCAATATTAGCGGGCGTAACAATATATTGCCATTACTAGTACTTACGTGTTGTCCAAGTCGACCTCCATCGCGTACGTTCGTGATTGATATGATAGTGTTTAGCGCCGTGAACGCGCCGTGAACGCGCCGTGAACGCGCAGCGACACCGTGTCTCTTTATCGATCTAAATCCTTACACAGTCGATAATGAAGACATTATTATCGACTTTGTAAGGATCATGGCCGTATTACACTAGCGGTTCGCATTGGCGTTGGCCGTTGCGTCTGCCGTTGCCGGTGCTATTAGACCAATAGATGTCCGGCTATTCTGAAGCCGCGAGCCGCCATCGCCAACCGCTGTTCTCTGATTGGTCGAGACGCAGCAGCCAACGGCAACGTCATCGGGAACCGCTAGGGGTACGTTCAGAAACACCATCCGAGTAGTCCCAGCGTATCATTCTACTATCCTTGTTTAACACATGGTGACATTCGCACGCGTCCAGCCGAGGGAGTCGGTGTTTCGGTTGCGGCGTTTTGATTGCAGTGGTTCTGATCTCTTTTCGTGAGTTGTGCGCGCGCGAGTTTTACGGAGAGAGGTGTTCATTGTATTAATTGTAAGTGGACGGTACTAATTAAACGAATTAGTGGGAGTGCGGACCGCGATATGCAAGAGGCTGCAGCCTCTTGCGCTGTGATAGACAAAGGGGAGAGTGCGATGGCCTCTTTCCCGTTTTACTTTTCCTTTTCCTTTGACGACGCGGCTGGATTTGAGGGAGAAACCTCCCCAGATACTCTTCCGTCGAATAGCTCTACCGGGACTACGGTCTCGCAGCGTACAAACGGTTTCCGAACATATTCATACTCTTCCGAGAGTATGAATTACAAAAAAACCATTAACAGGCTGTCTGAATCTTTGAAAGAAGCAAAAAAAGCGAAATTATCCCGAAGATAACGCGCAAAAGAGCTAGTCGCAACAAGACACGCAGTGACAGAGGTGCGCTTGAACATGTTACAACCAAGACGCTTCTTCCCACTGAAGGCAGTTTAGATAAGCTGCTGGCGGAATATCGAAGTCGTAAGGCTGTCAAGGGCCTGAGCGCGGAGACGACTCTCGATCGCAACACTCTTTTCGCAATTGCGTCAGAAAGCGAATCGAGCGGTGGAAACATGGCGACGCCCATTGATTTCGCGCCAAGCGAAGAACCCTTGCCCCTCCAGGATGACTCGTGCGCGGGCAAAGTGCAAACCAAAAGTCCCTTGACATCTCGTTTGGACAATTTCCCAGATTAAAGCCACTATATTTATAAAGTACCGCAATCATCCGACATTTTGACTCCAGTACGCGGCAATTTCAAATTGATGTATTGGGATGAATTTGTGTGAATGACAGAAAGCAGTAAAGTATGTTAATCAGTTGTATTTATTTTTAACGTTTAATATTGCTTATAGAACCTTTCATCGCGACGCTCCTACTGCTATTGCTAGTACCCGCATTTAAAATATTTGTACTGTCTTTTTTTAATGAGAAGTGAATTCTTGTTATAACAAATTTTTTTACCAGTTTGTACATGATGTTGTGGCATGATGGTATGCTGAATGTAGGATGGTTTTGTAAAAATGTGTCAATAAACTCTGTAGCTGTTAATGCATTTGATAATAACTGTGTCTCATTTTTTCTGAATAACAGTTCACACTTATATGTATATAATATTGTATATATCCATGGTTGGAAATATTAATGTATTGTTTTTAAATTGTCTTAACTTAGAGAAATACTGTAGACCATTATGGGGGCTCGTTTGCCCGTTGTCGTTTGCGCAGAAGGAATTGTTCGCTCGCTGGTGGAGGATCGCAGTAGTGAGGTCCGTTATTGACGAGAGTAGAATATGTGAATAGAAATATATTTACAGATATGTACAAGTATATACAGCGTTTGCTTTAGGTCGAGTTTGTGCGCCTTGCGGCGCGTGGCAAAAAATATATCGACCGAGAGGCGCGGTAACTTAGATTGCGCTCTCGGTAAGATATGTGAGGGGCCGTTACGGTCACCCTGATAGGGCCGTATGGGCACTCCGGTTCAGGCTCTGAGTCCGACTCGCTAGTAGTCCAGCCTCTGGTTTGCGTGCCTTGCGTGCGTACTGCAGTGGTCGAAGTCTGCGTCGCTTGACACCGTACCGTACGTGGTGGAGATCGCGGTGACGGTGGCAACGGAGAGATCGGTGAGAACAGGCGCGCTTGGATGTAGCGTGGGCTGGTGAAGCGCCTTACACGTAGATCCCATGGGCTGATGAATATCCGTGGCGGTCTCGTTAAGCGAGGAGGCGGCAGCTCGATCTTATGTAGTTTCCACGGCCTGTACTCTATGCAGGGTAAGCGTGGTCGGCCGCGTCGAGGCGAGGCTTTAGCTGGCGCTGGTTTTGAAGGCGCCGCTCCGCTCGCCGTGCGTTCTACTGTTGCTCCGCTCGCTGCAGGTTCAGCCGCTCCGCCGCTCTCTGCTAGCTCCGCCGACTGCTTCGGTCCTCCGTCGAGGGGCGAGATCTCGCTGGTAACTCCCGGAAGATCCTCTGTGCTCGGCTTGGCGTCGGTTGGTGCTCCGTCCGCTAACTCTGCTCGGGGCTGTCTCCTCGGCGTAACTACCGCTCTCGGCTTGCTGGTGCGCATGAGTCCTCGATACGTCCTGTGAATTATCTTTGGAGTCGATTCGCAGAGTTGGCTTATCTCCGCTCCCTTTTATACTGTAGTTCACCGTTTTTCAATTCCGAGAATGTTATTGTTTTCATGCGGCTTCTAGCGGTGTCTCGTGGAGTTTTGCTCCGGGGGTGTCTCCCTCGGATTGAATGTTTTCGCGCGCGTCGCGCGCGCGGTCGCGAGTTGTATTGTGGTGGCCGTGTTGCCGTTCCGTAGGGGCGCCTACGGCCGCCACACCATTATTATTAGAATCATTATCACAGATACTTACAAGAGGACTGAAACATTGCTTGCAATGTTTGAAATTTTTCTTTATTTTAAATAATAATGCACCTATTAAATGATATAACGCAGTTTGTGTAGTATCGCTGAGATCTGTTTCAGTTCCTAATAATGGTGTATATATTCCTTTATTCCATACATCTTCGTCTATATTATCCAGGCATTGTATGTGTGCATCATTTTTTTGCATGCGAGTTTTAAATCGTTACAATATTCAATAAGATGATCAGAATCACTAATCGAGTAATTGCCACGATCAATATTTCCTTGGAACTGGGATAAGGAAATCAGTCGTAATGAATGTTTAAAGTCACGTGCATTTGGAACAGGTTGTCTCCCGCGGATTAATGAAAATAGATTTTCTAACGCGTCTTGTGTGAATCGTCCTAGTAGTAAATACGAGGGCGGTTCAAATATGATCGAGACAAACGCTGTAGATGGCGCGCCTGTATGTTTTGAAGGTCGCGGCTTGAGTATGTGATACCTGGGTCCCTTACGAACAGTGTGGCATAGTTTTCGTCGCGAACGCACGTTTCACGCGCGTGATACGACCATGAGTGAACGTCAAGTGCCGACCGCCGTTGCGCAACGTATTGGTTGTCTTCGCTTTGACTGACGCCCCTTCCTCCTTCTTCCTCCACTCTTTAGACGACACCTTGCTTTCGGGAGTGTAATAGTGTACCCATGTTTCGTCTGTAGTGAAGATTCGCGTTAAAAAACCGTCCCCCTGAGCCTCGTATCGCGTCAGCAAGCGGCGACAAACTTCCAACCGCATGAATTTTTGCTCGAAGTTCAACAGTTTGGGAACCCATCGCGCCGTTATTTTGCGATATTGAAGGTGTTCGTGGATGATCACGAGACACGGTAGTGTCTCGCGCCAAGTGTAAGCGTAGCTAGTACACGCGTGCGAGACCGACCGTGTAAGTTTACGCGAGTACACGAGTTGACGGGCCCTCAGATTTTCGGATCTCAACAACGGCTGATCCGACGAAATTGAGACTGCGCTTAATCGATAGCTTGGGTACGATTTGCATAATAAAAGTGTTTTTACTTTTCTCCTACGTGCTCCAGGAGTGGAGGTATTGCAATGCAAAAGTCAGATTTGTTAAATTTTGGATTAAGAAACGTCTTTGTCGTCTTGGTCGTCGTCTTCGTCCCGGTCGTCGTCGTCGTCGTCG